GAAGGGGCCAGGTCTGGTGGAATACAGCGGGTGCGGTAGCAGATCCCATTTCAGCGTTTTGATGGTGTCCTGGACGATGGAAGTGCGATGGCACGGAGCGTTGTCGTGCTGCAATATCACTCGTTCGTGTCTCGTGTCCCATTCTGGCCGTTTTTCGAGCAATGCATGGTTCAAATTTATCAGTTGTTGTTGTCTTGTGTTTGCGTATCATTTTCATCCAATAACGCTTGCAGTCGTATAACTTCCTCAAATGTTTTTGGTCTTCCGGAGCGCTCCTTGTCCTCAGTGTCGAAATCGCCACTTCTGAAGCGTTTAAACCAATCTTTACAGGTAGTTTTCGATGGTGCATGTTTGCCGTAGGCTTTCTTAAGCAAACGACCTGCTTCAGCTGCATTTTCTTTCAAGTTGAAGCAGAAAAGCAAAGCTTCCCGCAAATGCTGTTTAGTTGGCACAAAACTCGACATCTTTATTGTTAGAAAAAAAATTTTTGCGTTGCGATATGTGTTGGTATTATAACTGGTTATTGTTGACAGATGTCCAAGTTAATAAAAAAACACAACTTTAGACATGTATATCGACTACATGTATCGTTAGCGCCATTCATGTGTGAAACCCGGAAACTTAGTTGCGCACCTAGTAACAAGATCTTTGTAATATTTCGCATTTCGCGTGCATATTTTCTAATATAAGTCGATTATAAGATAATAAAAGTTCTATATAAAATGAGATCGCGACGTGTAGAGTAGCGTATCGATTTATAAAATTTTTTCTATAGAAATAAATAAGAAATAGAGACGCGCTATGCGTGTGTGATGTAACTGAATGATTGAATACCGTACATATATATAAAGGGTGTTCGTAAAGGTTGGGAGCAAATTTATAGTGTGTTAATGAAGTCCAGTAGGTGAAAAAAGTTTTAAGTATCTTTACGGTACATGCAACAAATTTAATTTGTTAAATTATAACAGTAGAAGAACACACTGTATAAATTGCTCTCAACCTTATGGACATCCTATACATGTGTGTGTGTGTGCGCGTGTGTGTGTGTGTGTGTGTGTGTATATATATATCCATCATATATACATATGTGTATATATGATGTATATGTACGTATGACGTATATGTATATATGATGGATTATAACAAAGAGGAGAATTCCTTTTGTCATACACAGAATAGTAATCGAATCTTCTCATACATTGTAAACAAATCGGTAAATTTACACAACCAAGATGTAAAAATTACACGATAAATAACGGAAATTTACTAAATATATAATGTAAATTTACATAATTTCATAAATTTTATACTATTTACTTAGTTATATTTCCATTATTTATCACGTAATTTTTACATCTTAATTGCGTAAATTTATCGAATTTTTTTACAGTGTAGAACTATTCATTTACTTGTGATAAGATAGTAAAGAGTATTTTTCAAGATAAAAAAGTCCATCCTATAAACATACCAGAGAAAATAAAAAAGTAAAGGAATATTTGAAGAATTATATACATAAACATTTTTTAAAAAGTTTATAAACATAAACTTTTTAAAAAAAGTCTTCTCTTTTACTTTTTGCTTTTTTCATTTTTTAGCATCACATTAGAAATTTTATAACAATAATTTGCATTTCTATCGATGCGCGCGCGCGCGCACGCGTGTGTGAGTGACGAGACGTATGGAAAGATGTAAAATGTTAAATGATTGCACATATATTTATATTCTCAGATTCGAATACATATATGAATTTTCCCGTAAATAACATAAACTCTTGTCAGTGCAGTCCGCTTGTGTCACATTTTCTTAAAAAGTTCTCAAGTAAAAATTTTATTTATAAAAGCATAGCATATGTAATTTTTATTTTATTACTTGTGTAAATAATTATGCAATCGTAGTGTATTTATATTCCTCTATTATCATTTATCAACCCATACATCATCTCTATTGAATCTTATCATATAATGATGAAAGATCTTTTTTTTTTCAACTTACATATTTGTTTTAAAACAAAACATTTAAAGATTATATAAATACTTTGTTATTATAATATTATATTATAAATGCTATATGAATTTATCATACGATAGAACGTTAAAAATCAGAAAAGAAACCGATGGCTAAATGTTGGGCTATATATATACATACTTCTTTTTTTACGATATAAGATTTCAATGCATCATAGCAAAGTTCCATACCTGCCAAATGCCATGATATAAGATTCTAAACTATAAAAGTGAATGAAATGTATATTAATGTTAAAATGTACATGTTATTTATTTCTATTCCTTAAAATCTTATATCATAGCATTTGGTAGGCTTAAAACTTTACAGTGATTGAATACAGCATTGAAATCTTATTCTTAATTCTAAAATTCTAGAACTATTTTTACACCATTTTTTTGCTTAAAATATAAAATTTCAATGAATCGCAATAAAGAAGATGTACATTCCAAAGTTCTAACCTAATGTTCTAACAAATGTTATGACATTATAACATTCTAGATCAAGATGAACAAAATGTACATTAATGTTACAATGTACATTTTATTCATTTTTGTTTTATTTTAATTTTACATTATAACATTTGGTAGACCTAGAACTTGAGAATGTGCATCTTCTTTATTGCGATGCATTGAAATTTTATATCTTAAAAAAAGAAATGGTCTAGAATCTGTTATTCAACTGATATCGGACAAGTTGATTATTCTAAAGAAATGTTTCAAGTTCTTACATAAATTTAATAATTAATTAATTTCTCTTATTGCCAATATTTGCCGGCAGATATAACTATTAACGTGTGATTTGTCGAATTAAACGTGATAAAACGTAAATTTTCACTTTTATTTTGATCGGTATTGTATTTTCCTTTTATACTATATTTGATATTTTTAATGATAAATTGAGCGCGTGTAGAGCGCGCAATGTTATGTTCTAGTGATTTGTAAAATATTCTCGATTATTCATACAGTGACAAATAAGTTTGTAGATACACAATTAAAAGAAAGTCGATATAATAGACATCAAATAAAAACACGAAAATATACAATAGTTTATTCATGTGTATTTTACATACTGATGTGTACATATGCATGTATGTTATACATATAATTGTTTTCAAATGGAAGAAATATGAATAATTAATTTAAACAAGATCTATGAACCAACAGGTAGGAATTGATAACTCGTTAAATTGTTAAAAGGATATCAATAAATACAACAATCGAGGACGTGGTTACATACGTTAACAATCGAGTATTACTCGTTATTGTCCTTACTTTTTTCGTTTTAACAAAAACATGTAAGTAATATTGAAAAAAGAAACTACTGTAATACGCAGTATATACGCAATATATCGAGTGTAATTGTAATAAGGAAGCTTAATATACTGTTGGAGATAAAACAATACCTTATCATTAAATTACGTCTTTGGATAACAAAATTATTTTGCTGCACAATAAATTTCAGTGTATATGTCTTACTATGCGATGTTAAAATTTTTTCACGATAAAATATTGGCATTTAATATAAGCATTTTTCACAGTGGCATTTATCAAATTACGTTTAATAGAACAAAGACTGAAACTCTTTTTCTATAAAATGACCTTTGTGGCGCGACAATATTTAATCGCAATATAAAATCGCGGTTGTTATACGACGTTTGCAAGAAAATTCTCCAACTTTCAAAATAGCCTGTGTCCACTTAGATACGGCAAGCGCTGCTGTCTAGAGGTGAGTTTGGCCAACTATGTCGCACAAACCGTAGTAGTTTTATCTAGCTTGTGCTGCGTTTCTTTTTTGTGAACATATGTTTAACATGTATTATGATTTTTCTCGAAATAAATGAATTCTCTTTGCAAGCAACGAATTCGTATAAAATTCTATATGAAACTAGAAAAATCTTTCACTGAAACATTTGAAATGTTGAAAATAATATTCAGAATGAAGCTATGAATGGTGAAAACGATTCACACGAGGGTAGAACTTTGGTTGAGTCAAACGGTTGAATCAAACACATGCTTATTAAAAGAAACGCAACAGTATAACCAAGCAAGATCGAATGATATAGTTTGTGCAAAGCAAATCGCCCTTAGGCAGCAACGTTTGCCGCGCTCCGCTAAATCGATGCATTAGCGAGCTATTTTAAAAGTTCAGCAAGTTTCCGAACAGACATCATATAC